TTTGTGAAATGTGTTGAGGGAAATTATGGATAGGGCAGACCCCGTGTCAAGTTCCATCGACAATGGAACTCCCTGCAATTTCACTTTAAGAGATAATTTCTTTTTAAGGGGTTTGTGTGTGCCTATTCTTAAAATGTTCCGGCGTGTTGCACAGAACCCCACCCTGTTTTGACTGGGCACCCTGGTACCTTTCAGATTCTATTCTTCCTTCGGTTGTACCTTCTGTCGACCCAGGCAGACCGCAGCGATGTGGCCTTTCTTTCCGCACGCTCGGCAACTGGCGGAACGGAACCGACATTCCTCTCGCTTGTGGCGACCACCGCATCCGAGGCAACGAAGCTCAGCTGGGCCCTTGTCATGACGATCTTTGGACCTCCTCCCAGCTGCTTGGTAAAGCTTGTCCACCTCTTCTTCAGGATCTTCTTCCGAATCCTCTCGCACGTCTTCCTTGTGGATGGTGGCGGTCTCTGGAGCGCTTCGATTAGGCCGCATGTTCTTGACCGCCCCACCTGCAGCTTCTTCTGCAGAAACCTCTCGCAGAGCATCTTGGAAAGAGACATCTTCCTTTGCGAACAGCTTCTGCTGTAAGTCTCTGTTCCTCAGTCCGCACACAAAACGATCGCGCAGTCTTTCCTCTAAGTCCTTGAAATCCCACGGTTTAGCTGCTCTTCTCAAAGCTGCAATGTACTCTTTTGCTGATTCCCCAGCTCGCTGATCCCTCAGCTCAAATGTGTGCCTCCAAGCAATGACAGATTGCTTGGGCTGGAAGTGTTCCTTCAAGACTTTCTTCAGATCAGAGTATGACACCGTTTCCAGCGAGGCCGGGGCGATTAGGTTCTCAGCGATCTCAAAGGCGTCTTGCCCACAAATGCACAACATTGTGGCAGCCTTTAGGCCTTCCTCCCTTATCTGGTTTACGCGGAAGTAAGTCTCGACTCTGGCAACGTAAGATTCCCACTTCTCGGGGTGAGAGACATCGAATTCCGCTAAATGCCCAATTTTCGCCATGATCGAGGAGCAGGTTTTTTTTCTTCAGCCACACGCACCCTCCAGCGAATTCGTACTGGCAGGATAAACGCTGACTTCAACGCCGTCGTTCCTCTTCCGGACTTCTTTGGGTGAGTCTTCAAGCTTCCCTAGCTGTTTAGACTGAATCCCACCTTCGTCGCCAGTGTTAAGTCCGGAGAATAATGGCGCTTGAGACGATGCATTTCTAACATGTCTTTATTCTCTGCTTCCATTCCACGAACAACCCGAGCAGAGGCACGCAGGCCTCTATTTATACCTTCTGATCCCCGGGCAATTCCAACCAATCACAAGGCGGTCTTTTCCCGCCTTGCGCATGTGCGCAAGGCCGGCGCCACTCAGTCTGGTCCCGGGCAGCTTTTGCAAATGCCCGGGACTCTTGCAACGTCC